TGTTTATGATGCGTATAAATTCAAAATCGGAGATATTTCCTTATTACGCACAAGAAATATTATTGTTATTAATAGTAAATAATTGACAGATAATTGAGAATAATAAAAGAAGATTTATGAGTGTGTATTTCGTAACGGTTTACCTTGCGCCAAACAAACAGACGCATTTTATTTCTTACGGTTGGTATGCATGTACATTTTGTTTCATTTTCAATTAAGGGGGAGCGAAAGAGATCTTTTTCATACAATCGCATATCTGATTAAGCTGCACCCTTAGATAGTGGTGGAATGTCGGATGAGGTACTTAATGTGCGACAATCATGCTTGTAGGGGGATAAATCCGTTTCAAGGGTGATCGTAATTTCACAGGGGGAGTCTTGACAAGATTGATAGTGCATGAGGATGCTGATTGTCGGATTTGGTGTATTTATATAAAGCGTTTTGTAGCGTGATCAGATATTGAATTTTCCTCTGTGGTAGATGTACCAATATTGTTCTCCCTTTGAGAGTGATTAAACTGTTGCGCTATCGGTCTCTCAATTTTTGTCGTTTCTGTCAACTTTGTCCTGTGCTTTCTAATAAATGCGCGCGATCGTGATTTTGCTAAGACAACTCCATAAAAATCCACTAGATTGAGTCTGTTGCTTCCCGTACTCTTGCATCGCATTGCCCATAAACTGCATTTACCTTGTACTTTTTCTAAAGATAGACAGTTATTATTTTACACCCTGTGTGAAGTACCGTATGTCCTATGTTTGTTGAGACTGCAGTGTATCTCAGCTGATTATAAAGATAAAGACTTGCTGTTTTCGCAACCCTGTGCAACTTTTTTGTGAAACTTTTAATACCACGAATACTAATTAAATATTAATTAAATACTAATACTACGTTTGTTTCTGAGAGACAGGGTGAAAACGAAATTTGACTTTTTGGAATCGTACTATATTTATATACTACCGTATATCTTACTATCCATGTAAGATAGAAACAAAGCAAAAACTGCCTTATTTAGATATTTTTACGTAGAATCAAGTGGCGTAGTAAAGAATTTTTAACCCACCGCTTCTGATTTGACCCAAAACAGGTATTTTATAAATGCAACACCCTGTATATATCTTAACGTGATTTTTGTGCATTCTTTTTCCCGATTATATATTATATATGTATCGCAACCTATATTCTTTTTATGTAATCATACATTACATTACATAAGTATATAACATTTTTCAAATTTTTGAAATGGCATGTTTCTACCGTTGCCTTTTTTATTGATTGGTAACGGCTGCCTTAGTTATCATGGATACAATAAACAAAACAAAATCTCTATGAACCCATAACTATTTAAACATCGTAAAAAATAAGGTTTTTATTTCTGGTTTATGGCAAAAAATTAAAAACAATTGCCGTTACGATATACAGAGTGTTGCAATAAAAAATATAAACATTGGGTCAAATCCCAGAAACGGTAGTCCAAAATTCGACCAACGGCATCGAACTGAGTCTACCAACTTTAACGTTTTTGAAGTATAAAAAAGTGCGCCCTTTCTACATATGTGCATAACTTATTCCTCGATTTGTTTGAGTTGGTAAATATTTGCGGGCGATGTTTCATGTGACGAATTTTCTGGAGCCACCTTCGAGAGCGAATTTATTGGATATGAGAAAGCGCATTTCCTCTGTGAATGCAATCTATCTGAGGACTGTTTTTTGGTATAAACCCGATAGGTAATACCGCACGATTAGGGCGCTATGCGCGGGTCCACCATCCTGTTGCAAAACCAACAGTTTCCATCTTTTGTTTTTTGTGTGTGCCGTATATCATTGTATTCGTAATAAAAAATGCTAGAAAAAATGTGTAGTTTGTTTACGGGCCATATAAAAAAATAAAGTTGATGATTTCTCCGGAACGAAACGTTGGATTAAAAATCTCTCAACGTTTTGTAGCGCTCAAAAAGTGTCAATGAGAAAGTTGTTTTTATTTTTTTGTACCAGTTCAAATAACATCAGAAAAAATTCCCAGATTTCGCAATCCATCCATAGAATCTTTTCCAAATTTAACAAGGGATCATGCGGCGCGGTTGATACTACTGTGATTTAAACACAAATATTTATTTTACCCTGAAATGTATTGTCCCAAACGCTACTGATAACCTACGATTTTTTACTGTGGAAATCTCACTGGTTTCCTCGCTGACTCAAACGCGAATATTCATAATAACTTCTTCACTGATTAAATAATGCCTACAAAATGGTTTCTTACTAACGACATCTTTAACACTGATTCTTGTCTCCGTTTGTGCCGTATCAATTAAAATAAAGCTACGGTAATAAATCATCCACGACCAATTTTGCATTTTACACACTACCATTATGAAAACAATGCCCCGTAGAAATTAAAAGCCGTAGAAAAGACGATTGCTAATTCCATCAATTGCTTACATACAATTTACAAAGCATACAATTTACTGGAAAACTCAACCCTCAACGTACAATTGTAACTTACCTAAGATAAAAATGGCGTACATTTTTACATCACATCCAGTAATAGTTATTTGTACAACTGGTTTTGGAAGTGATACTTTCACTTTCAACACGTGTTGTATACGAAATGTTTTTGCCCATAATTGAATAATGTCATTGGTATTCGCGATACTGCCATTAAAAAATTATCAAAGTCCTCGTGTGAGATCGAAGGGACGTCAGCGCATTTTTGTGTGGCAGATCAGTGTTTTATTAGCCAATATTGACTCCACCATCAATAAGATCTTGCCGAAAGCTACCACGTTCACTCTGTCGGTACCATTTTCTCACTTACCGTGCACTCGCAATTTGCGTTTGAAGTTTTGACTCCACCATCAGTAAAATCCTTTGGGGGTTACCATATTCCCTTTGTCGACACCCACTTCTGATCACCCGCAACAATTCGGATTTGAAGTTTCGACTCCACCATCAGTAAGATCTCGTCGGGGGTTACCACATTCCCTTTGTCGATACACAGTTCCGACGTCCCGTTCATTCGTAATTCGCTAAAATCCCGGCATAAAATCGTATTCAACTTTTGGGTACTTCACATAGGTCGACCTTCTATTAGTGACACGAGAAAGAGAGACCGCGATTCGCGCTGTAAGAAACTTTTGGGCGCCCAAAGTCGACTACCCCTCGAAGCGCGCCGCGCAAAAGGTGGTTTATTTCGCCCCTAGGAAAAAAAACAAAATTCCGCCACGCAGGAGTTGTGCGCGTTGACAAGATCTTCCCGACGACACCAATTTGAAAACAATCGGAGAAAAACTGTAGAAGAAGGTAGATAAAAACTGAAAAATCTCCAGGTTAGTATAATACGCTCGGGGATGGCGTCCAGATGTCGTCGACTCCAAATCTTGTAGCCCCATCCCTAACGTTCTTAATTACACGGCCCCGATAGTTACATGTACACTCCTTGTCTTTTTACAAGCGTTTTTCTACGGGCGCGCATTTACTGCCAGCCAGCCTACCAGCCAGCCAGCCAGCCAGCCAAAGTGAGATTAAAAGCTACTTTTTACAAAAAAAAATTTTTGCAAAAATGCGCTAAAAATTGAGCTATAGACAAGACTAAAATCGCCATGGAAACGCATAGATCTTTTTCATCGTTGCCAAATGTTATATACTCATGTTAATTATCCATTATAAACATTCGTAATATTATTATTGACAAATTATTTATACATGACATTTAGGTATAGGTAGCTTCGATACACAATAACCATCACCATATATCATGTATTCTAATATTATTCTAAATTGCCCGGTTTAGCAATCATCCACATTATTTCAAATTACAGGGTGCGTAAAAAAACAAATAAATAACAATATACTCGTAAATGATTCTGTTCTCCAGAAGCAGAGTGGATCAGCTTTAGAGGAAATTCTGATAAATCGGCGGAAATCCTGAAAGATTTGAGGAAATACAATATTCCTTTATGCAGGGTTAATAAAAAGCTTCAACGACCCTCATTAGACACACTAAAAATCAATCAAAACTGTTTCGATAGTATGGGAGACTGAATTTGAACACAGAAGAATAAAATTTTGACGTTTTTGTTTCAGTTTCGGTGTTTTCAATTAAATTCAAGCAACATGTGCCAAATTTATGTGCCATCAGCACCGTTAGATTAACAGATTTATACTTTGGCAACGGTATTTGTTCCAAGCAAATTTAATGCACAATCCAAGAAGATGAACACGTAGGAAAAATTATGCTAATAAAACTTTTCAATTCGATAGCCATTCCCATACAACACGTGCCTTGTCTAAACCTCATCTTCCTGACGGATTTGCATACCAAGAGACACTTTAATCCTCAGATCCTTGATTTGATCGAGATTGCGTAACAATCGTCAGATCTATTATGTTAATTTCGAGTTTTGCGGCAGCTAAAATTTGAATCAATTACCATTGAAAGCAAGTCTCAGAATAGAAATTCTTCGTCTTACTAAAAAAAGCTTCAAGATCAAATGAATTTACTGCACGATTATCGACATAAAAAAGGTTAACGTACGATTTTGATCATTAAACACTTTCGGTTTTATAACGGTAAATATACGAAAAAAATAGTTTTTTTCAATTCAGTAACCTACATCCTTTGGGCATGCAATTCATGAGTCAGCCGTGTTGTTCTGTTAAAATTGCTATTATTAAAAATAATTGCAAGAGAAAAATAAAACCTGACCATTATTCACAGCTTGATAATAAATTGCACACATTTGGGGTGTGTGTAGGTATTATTTGACCCTGAGCAATTTTTAAATTGTTCATTGACTGCGTTATTTACTTTCAACCGTGACCGTCTCTTTTTGTACACTTCTTCCGCAAGAGATCTCTTTGTAACTTTGCCACCATGTAGCTGAAATAATTGTGACGAACGCAATTTTGCCAAAAATGCAATGTGACAACGACTTCTGTTATAGCTATACCGTTATTTATCTGCCGGTCCCGTGTCATGTACTCGAGTCTCGACAAATTGAAAATTGCCTTTTTTTGTTGTTGCCAAGATCGGTTATTCCTTTCTAACTTATTTATAATTGAGGTAGATGATCTCAAAATTATGCGATCGCCTGCAAATAAAAAGAGGACGGCTAGAATATTGAAGACAATAAGTTGTTGACAGTCTACCTGCATCCCTTAAATAATTTTACATAAGTTTACGCCTTCAGATTTGTCCTATATTGCACGATTTTCGAAACATCACTTAATGTAAAATTCGAGTATAGTGTAGTGTTGAAAAATTTAAGAGTAATTTAAGAAAAAGTCGTTATATTAATAATAGATTGTTAATCTTCAGTGGTTTGATCGCTAGGGGTTGATTCTTGATTTGCTTGTAGAAGACCATTCAGTTCCAAATTTAAATTTTAAGGACTGCAAGAAAATACGAAAATGTAAAGGGAGTCTCTCTCCTCAATCTCGCCTAACCCGTCAAAACCTCCCTTACAGTATTTGTTCAACATTAATAAATTCTTTATTTTTCTCCTTTATTAAGCGGTAGAACAAAGCGATAGAAGCTTTTCAGGGAAGTCGATGGTGTCTGTTTGTGAACACGATAACTGGCAAGTGTTTGGACCGAAAATGGGTCAAATCATTGGACCCTGTAGGGTCACACCCCTCTGCCGCTTATCTAGATCCGCTTTACACGCGGTTCATTTTACCTTTGATTTCCAATCCTTTCCACCTCGGCTTTCAAGCTTCCAATCCAAGGTGGTTTTATTTTGTGCTAAATTGGTTTGAACCGCGAGCGAAATTAAATCAATCCACTGTAGACTATCGTGAGATGTTTTATTTCCACCAAGAGAATTCGCCCCTAGAAGTGAGACAAGGTTAAGTAACTTGTAAAATTAGCGCGGCGCGATTGATATACCTATTGGTGAGACACTCTAATCATCGAGAGCCTATATTTGTGCGGAGAAATTTTGTGCGCTTACGGTACCGAAGTTTAACAACGTGTAAATTAAATGCGAGAAATTGCGAATTAAAGTTTTTAGTGGTTCTCATTTATAAATGATAACTCTTACGTTAAATACGAACAATAGTGGACCCGCAAATATTAAAGTTGTGTGACCATAAATAAAGTTTAATTGCAAAATAGCGTACCGTAATATCAAGATGAATAGAAAAATTCCATGTTGAAAATCTTCACACGTTTGAATCGGTCAATTGTGCGCAAATCATATTTTTTATATGACATTGACATTTCCCGTCGAATTTCCCATTTTGCAGTGACCGTGTTTGAACTTCAGAATCATAGGAACCATTCACTATACGAAACCTAGGAATTTGTATCGACTGTCCTTTTCAATTATTTGGATCAGCTTATTGAATCCATCAGTAATTCTAGGTTCAACGACCAACGGACTATTGCCAGTATTAGGTATTGCAGAATTTCAAATGTGAATATCTCGAAAACGGCGGAAAATAAAATGAGAGATGTTTGATACTGAGGTGTTCAGGTTCTCTCGTAGATGAGGACTATTAATTGTGGAGACAGCCTCCAGCGATCTATGGGGTCGGAAAAGTATTGTTGTGTAAACTACATATAAGAGCGAGTCACCTTACAGTGTTGTTAACGTAATATCGGTCTGAATATCGGAAATAGCATCCTGTATGTAACATAATTCAAATTATTTCATAAGATCTGAGAAAATTGTTTTTCAAATAGACACAGAATTGTCGTTTTATTGTTAGTTTTTTATTGTAAATTTAATCGGTAATTCATTTAATTCTATTTGTTGTATGTAGTTTGTACGATAAATTTAAAACGGGTAACTAAAAGAACATTTAATCGAAATTTTTACGTGAGTTTAAAGTGTTATCTGGTCATGGATTGATAAAAAATTGATATCGGACACGAAATAATTGGTTTTTCGACACTCTCACGTGCGAGATAAGCGATGCAGGTGTTTTATCATTTCTGGCGACGAAGAAAAATTTCGAGTGTCGTCGAGTGAATAACGATATTGTATTTGTTATAAGAGACTTGAAAGCGCCAGATTGTCGCGACAAGACGAAATCAATTTGAAGTACGTGACGGTCCTGGTGAATCAGATTCGCTCGTTAGCAGGGTACTGCATAACGTGTTTTTTTTGTTGCAGAACCTGCGGGAATTTACCGTTAGGTTCATGGTATTAGGTCAAACCAGGTTTCTGGAGTTATCATTAGCTAAAAGAAATGAATACGATTGGTTGAACAAATTAAAGTGGTTGGTGAGCGTGGTTTCTAAAAATGAAGGTGGTAGGAATTGCATCGTTACGAGAAGAACCGCAAGCCGGGAAAAAGTTAAGGCGTGTCAGTCGCCCGAAAAATCTGCGGGGAGTGGTTAATTCGTTGGTGGAAAATTCAGTGACCATTATTAATGGGACACCCTGTACAGAAGTCATGTGTTAAAACTTCTCTTGTAATTATGTCCAGCAGTGTGATGAGTTTTAGTTATTGTTGCGTAAGCTAATTAGTTTTAAGATAAGAAAATACAGATGGTCTGTATGCAAAGATGAAGTAGTAATTTCTGAAGGGAAGGAGGATTGAAAGAAAACGGAAGGGGAAAAACGTTTTAAATAGACGAATCAGACTTAATCGTGCTTTTTTGGTGGTGGGTGTTAATCTTGTCTTGGTTTTTGTTGGACGTTGAAACGTAGACGCTTATTGTTTTGACGATTCGTCGTATTTAAGTATTATTGCAACACACGGGCTTTATTACAGAAACTAATACCGTTTAACAGAAAATTATATTTGATTCCATGAAATATCAGGGGATGGATTATTATGATTTTCATCATTTTTGCCAAAATTCACAAAAACGGATATATACATACATCATGGGAATTGATGGAATTGACTGACCTGAAGAAGTTATTACAAATTAGCATCTAACCTTTTGCCCAATTTCGAAACACAATTTATCAAAATTCTTCTTGAGCTGAGAAATAAAGTTTGATTTTCACACACATCAATCGTTACTGTGATACATGAAAGCTGCCATCAGTCGCACATAAAATTTGTCAATACAATCACACTTTTATGGACGTCTCTTTTTATTACCCAAACAGCTACCACTAACTAATACGTGAGAAGAACTGATCGGGATGCTGTGCGTGAATATTTTTGCATAATTTTAATAGGAAGTGATTTAACCGTACGATGTCTCATCCCACGTATCGAATTCTACGGTTACAATATTACAAAATATTGCACATTTAAAAGCAAAAAAATAAAACCGATAGACGTGTTTATATAACGCTCAATTGCAATGGATACGTTTAACAGAAGGAATTACGATCGTGACCTGTTAGGTACACTAACAATCTTAAATATATGCTATTAGAAAAGGATTGAGTTGAGGAATCCGCACACGATTTTCGCGATTTTGTAAAAATGTATAATGTGTTTTATTGAAGGCTTATTTTCCAGTCGGACGTAATTGTATGCTAACGTTTCTAATGGGAGTCTTAAGATAGTTCTGTTATCGTATTTAACGATTAGAGTTATGTTTGCTTACAAGTATTCATTATGTAATTGTAATACCCTCTTAAAGCTGCGGTGAGACTAGAACATTTCCGCTTTACTAACATATTTTGGGGCGTGTAAGTATTTAAAACAATGGGAGTGTTTCCCTTTTTGTCTCCGACATTTCTAGAAATCCCCTTTTATACAGCAAATTAGATTAATTATCGCTTCAGACTGTTACATCGTTAAATCGTAACAACGTTAATAAGCTTTTCTGAAAGGTGTATCTGCAGTAACCATAACGAATGAAGCGTTATAAATTTAATTATTTATGATTTCCTTTTATCGTGTTTTTGCTTTCATCTCGACCATTTTTCCTTTTAAATACACTTTTACTTTAAAATAATGCAATTACAAGTTTTTAATGAGTTAATAATGACGCCACCAAAGCGCACCTTTAATTCTTCCTGTTCCTTTTTACCATTTAAGATTTAAACGTGGTGCAACAAGCTTAATGGGTGATAGGTGCTACTAAATGCCACCACATTTAATGATGGCAATAAAGTTTATTTTAAAATAGGCACTCAATATAAACCAACAATCCATTACGGAATTAAATTTACAGCAAATGAAAACGGTTAATCACCATATTTTTGCGCCCTTTCCATTCAACTCTTCCCGCAAATTAATTACATCCACCCACTCATCTAATTTCTTTACCCAATTAACCCCCCAGTTGAATTCGGCTACCTGCACTCTTTAATTTCTACCTGCTAGGGTTTCAATTGAGATTGAAGGATGTAGTTCTTTTAGCTGTACGTTATCGGAGCGCACTTCCATTTTCTGAAATATTCAAAAGGTTAACGTTGAAAAATGAACCAATGGGGAAACGTAATCTACTTCCAAGCGTAAAATATTTACAAGTTTCACGAAAGAGTTTGCAAGGAAACGATTACTCTTGCAGTGTAGCAAAACTGGGGTGAATCGCTGATCAATAAGCGAAATCCAAGAAATTACTGGCGGCGTTATTGGCATTATGCGATTATGGTCAGTATCGGTATTGTTTGGGTATAGAAAATCATTATAGCTCAAAAATGATTACTCATTGCTGAGATTTGCTACCCGGTTTCATCCACTACTACTTACTTCTTTACTCACATTTACATCAATGAACTGTACAATAAACTTATTGCAATTATAGGGGTTGACCATCCGTTCGTTGAAACAAAAATTACTGAATTTTTTAACGGAACTCGAACTTTTTAATAAGAATTTAAAATGCCCTCCGGCTGGTCCTTAACATGAACTTTTTACTGTCACTTACTTACAGAAAACTTCTCCTTTCCAAATTCCTGAAAATGGACTTTAAGATCTGCTTTTTAGATTGCTTACTCGTGAACAATGAATAATTTGATAAAAATCAAATAATAAAGTGGTTACAATTTTTTACATTTCCCTTTTAGGTACAAGTTTTCTATTTATGATTTTCTTATAAATTTCTAATAACGAAACTTATTTTCGTGACCACGGTCTCTATGAATTACCCCTATACTTAATTTTAACTTGGGCTTTTAAATGGTAAAATACATGCAATAACAGTTTTTTTTAATTTGTCTAAAGGTGTATCGTTAAAAAACAATACATTATAATTTGCCTGTTTCCTTCAATCAAATTGAGAAATAAAGATAAATGACTTAATTTTACATAAATGGAAGAACTCATACAAGAAGGTCCTTCTGCAAGTGACGAAGTTGATACAAATTTGGACTGGAGACAATCCCCTTTACAGCGGCAATGATTCAAGAAAAATAGGCTACGAAACCTTGCCGACGACAAAATCGTTTGGTGACGCAATTGTTCTTTAAAGTTTTCCAACGTTTAAATCCTAGCAGTTATTTGAATCGCGAACAAACAAATTATTATTTCTTATCACAAGAGTTTTGTAAAATTTCCAAATAATAATAATAATAGAGATTTATTGAATAGGTATATAAAACAAAAAGGAGAGCTTCCAAACTAAAATAATCACTAAAATACATATTCTATTTAAAAGGGACAAGATATCGGCAAGCCGGTTTGCAATCTCGCCCTAAGAGGTCGAAAAAGTGTAAATTAATTAATTAGAGTGCTATAATTAAACATTGTTCTTAAAAATAAATAAATATTTGTTTATACAGACATTTGTTGTGACTGCAAACATAAATGTTTCTGTTATTACCGCAACAGGAGGAAGTTTCACTAAGTAACAGTTTTACACCTTAATTTTGATTACTGTTGCTATAGTAATTTTACGATTCCGGTGACAGAGTGCAACCACCTCCTTTGATTTCACGGGCAACAAATCATTATACTCAATTTTGTAACGGTTTATTTTCTCCATTACGAAGCAGTCAATATTTCCTTGTTGAAAGATCCTCGTAACTTTTGAATAAATGGCTCCATCTATTGTTGGAATTATAACCACGCCATTTTACCGCGCAGATTGTCGGCGCCTTAATTTTTGGTTGTCGATTGTCGATCTTCATTTTTCTTCTTTTCTGTCGAGAACCGTATCGGAACCAACAGCTGAGGCGTTAGTTGACAACGCATGGAATTTTAATTGCCATCATCCATATTTTACTAATCTCTGGCAAATTGCATTCATTAAATTGGGGATTCTGGAATTATTAGTGAACGGTAACTACGTAGAGAGGATATAATTGCGTTTTTCTGTCTTAACATAAGTACCGCCATTTGCATTTCAGTTACTTGAAGTGTACCTTTTCTTTAGCTTCGGCTGTCATCTGTTATACGGCAATTTTCCATCAAAAATTGTTGCTCCATCTATTGGTGGAAATATAACCACGCCATTTTACCGCGCAGATTGCCAGCGCCTTAATTTTTGGTTGTCGATTGTCGATCTTCCTTCTTTTCTGTTGAGAACCGTATCGCGTCATTAGAACCAGCAGCTGAGGAGTTAGTTGAGAACGCAAGGAATTTTAATTGCCATCATGAATATTTTACCAATCTCTGGCAATTGCCTGCACTAACTTGGGGATTCTGAGATTATTAGTGAACGGTAACTCCGTAGAGAGGATATAATTGCGTTTTTCTGTCTTAACATAAGTACCGCCAATTGCATTTCAGTTACTTGAAGTGTACCTTTTCTTTAGCTGTCATCTGTTATAAACAATTTTCCATCGACAATTGTTGCTCCATCTATAATTAAGGCCGAAACCCATTGGCAACACGCCACGCCACGCCACGTCATGTGGCATAGGTTCACGTGGGACAGTTTGTGTACATATTTGTAACACGCCACGTGATGACACGCTTGTCATTTTATTTAAAAAATTGGAAGTAGTAACTTTGAGTGCGATCGACTACACTAGCGCAAGCAGTTCGTCTAGTGAGTAGTGAGAGTTCTTTAGAAGAATGTGCTGCTGCTGTCATCGTTTTGAATCAGTTATTTTGTTATCGATTTGTGTGTATTAAATCCTTTAATACCTAAACCTAACTTTCCTTTTTTGATAACGATATTTAAAAACGTTCAAGACATTGCATGCTTAATAAAATTTTATGTGATTTTCTACTTGTTCGCCATCTATCGGCAACATTCCCGCGGAATGCCCCTCTTAAAATAAATACGGAAACAGATTGCCGCGGGAGTGGAGAGGCGACCGGGGAACATTCACACGTACCAACACGCGTCGGTCACATCTGAGGGTTTTGAATCGTCACACGTGAGGTGGCGTGGCGTGGCATAGCGTGTGTCAAATGTGTACGCGGTACATGTAAATAAATGAATGAATATACGCATACATTTTCGTCACATGGCGTGGCGTGGCGTAGCGTGGCGTGGCGTGTTACCAATGGGTTTCGGCCTTTAGCCCTCTTATTTGGACATTTTTAGGTTTCAAACAGACGATTTCTTTTAGGGGTCAAGTTCCGGCTCAACTTTTTAGTTTTTAATTCAAACTCAAATCTAATTCTGAAAAGATCAGCATGAGCTTCAGAGACGCTTTATCTATCTATCTTGTTCAAACTTTTTTTTTTTAATTTCTATTTAACTACCCAGAAATTAATCTTCTCCTATCATAAGAGTGGGCTGGACACCGAGACATATGTATCACGGTGCTGGTGTGGAAAATTCGCTGCTGGCTGCTGTAGTTACTTTTGATATAAGGTGATTCCTAAATTTGTAGATACATCTTGTAATTATCAAGATTATATTTTCTAAAATATTTAGCGTTTTGTACAAGTAAAAATATAAAAAAAATTATTTATAAATCCAAATTTCTAGATTCTAGATTTTGAAATTATCTTGGGCTTATTATTTATTAAGCAGGCAGACAATAACTTCGTCGCTCGCTCAATTTTGCATAGTTCCATTTAAAAGCGTTTTCCTGTTACAAATTGTTTATCTTAACTAGGTACATATTCTGGCAAAGTGCAGGAGATAATCAACAGTAGCAACAGACATTACCTACAAAATTCCACTGGAATTTCTTAATGGAATAATCTCATCCGACAAATGCAGTAAAATGTGAAAGGCACACTTCAAAATGGCGAACGCATAAGCTTTATCGTCGGACAGTTTTCTAATCGGCTGCATACTTAAGAAATTTGATCACCCGATATTTTTCATTACCATTTCATTGCCAATTGATTTTCCAAAAGCTCACATCGGAGCAGAAAAAAATTTACGACTGTCGTTCGAAAACAAATCCCAATTATTTTCCGAAGTCGAGCTCCAATTAATTTTTAATTTAATGGAATTACGAAACCTTGAATTTTTATTTGTGGGTTAAACACATTAAAAACTTCATTTCAATATCGAAAATGACTTTACCGAAAGCGCGCGGGTCAATTTTTTAATACTAATAATTGACATTAATTGGATTCTGCACGAAAACAGTATCTTGTCTCTGGTAAAGTAAAGCATCGAAATGATTTATCGAGGCAACAAACTAATTGGTAACTCCCGAGTCTCCAATGTCGTATCAATTTAACTATCAATGGCGATCATGCAATGTCGCCAAGCTGTCTCACGCACGGGTTACGTTCAAGAATAAGAAAAAAAACGCGTTGAATAAATAAAACTAGATTTTGGTGAATGAACGTGTAGGCGTCGCATGCCAAAACAAGGTTACCGTAGTTTTACGAGATTTAATTCGTTCATAATAAATTTTTAATTTTAACAGACGCCGACTGCAATTTCATTAGCAATTTTTCTCGTTATTGATGCTTCTACCTTGAAACATATTAAATCTTAAGGGATTACTGCGAAATCGCACCGTAATTAACCAGTACGTGGGTATAAAATAAATCAGTAAGCATCAAGGTTTTTTTTATTATTAAAACAATAATAATACTTTAACAACTTTGACGGTTTAATAATAGGAATTTATTTAATTTTATAAATATAGAGGCCTATCATCGCGAAATTTCGATTTTAATTTAGTTTCACTTTTTAATACTTGTGAAAGTTAGGGGAATGGTTTAGCTAATCGTGACATGATAGAAACAAATTTTTAATTTACCTAATGGTTTAAATTATTTAAGAAAAGAGGCGAACTTTAATTTTGTAGCTTACAGGGCGTAATAAAGCGATCCGATGATACAGGAGACCAAAACAAGCATTTTTTTAAATAAATCAAGGCGCCATAATTTATTTTGGGAGTTACTTACGTCTTCAAAAGCCCAATAGATACCTAAAAATATAGAACTAGGGGTGTTACACTACAAAATTCTTAATTTAAGATGGTGCAAAACGAAGGTGCAAACAAAATTCCGATCTCAGTGAAATTTGGTATTTAAGGGTTTTCAATAGGCAAATAACGAATCCAAAATGTCCGACATCAGGGGCTGAGAACGAAGTAATCTGCTATACACGACATTATGGTCCGATCTCTCATTTAACCGTTTAATTTATCCAACAGTTAATTTCCATATAGAAATTAAACAGTTGATATTTATCCCATAAAATTAACTGAAATATGAAAATGGAATTTGTATCTTCTATCGAATTTTCGACTTTAGAATCTCTGAATTTTGGAATATTATGGTTCTAGTTGTGTTTCATGTTATCTTAAAATATTTGGAGGTTTCATAATGAATTTGTGCGGTAAATTTAATTACTTGATTTGTTTATGTATAATTAATGGCTTTATAACGGTGCTTAAATATTTATATTTACAACAGATACAACAGGGCGGACGAGCTGGCTCGTGAAGGCAGTTGTCGGGCCCGAGCTTACCCTAGGAATTACTCCCTCCGTTGTCAGGGCAAGGATTAAAGACTGGGTGACCAGTCAATTCCAGGCTCAGTGACAATAAGAAACTAGACTCTGAACCTAGTTGAGGAAGAAAGAGTATGGGCTCGATGGACAAAAACTAAGAACCTTCCCCAATTAGCCTCTATTGACATACCCACATACAAAAAACTTGGAAACTTAATCTGCTACTTGAAATGCTTTACACATTCACCGAAATATCTTACAACAAAATACAAAAAAGTCACAATATCTTTGATCTAATCTGTATTATTTGAAACTGGCGTCGTCCTCTAAAGATTCCTTCGTAGTGGAAAATTCCCCTAGGACAGAGTCAGCGTTCTTTGGTATGCGTAGTTTCTTTCTTTACGGACAATGGAAAAACCCCGACATATGTTACCAAATTGAGATGGAGCTCGTCCCAGATTCGTTCAACATACGCTTTCTTAAACGTCCAAACATAACTTCCCTTAACCCGTATTATCTTACTAAATCAGATTAAATACGCGCCCACACCCCTGTGTCCTATTTACTCTAAAATCGAAAAAATTTAAACATGTGGCTAGAGAGCACCAGTTACACTTGATGGAAAATGACTAGGGGTTTTGTGACATGCCTTTCTTGGTTTGTGTGGCACAAGAAGTAAGGAAACGAAACTTTCAAAGGTGACAAAAATGGTTGAGAGACAAAAGGGCTAAACTTGGTACTTTCGGTGGAAAAAGTTGCCTTTATCTGTGATTTTCTGTAATATTTGCACTATCTGTTATATGGACTATCAAATATGTACCTCATAATATCTTAGAAAACCAATGATTTTGCAATTACATTATGTTGGGCAGACACTCGTCCATTCAATGCACACAGAGACACAGATGTTAAAGCCTCGACAAAATGTGCATCGAATTTGATTGGTAGTAATATGATGTGTAAATCAAAGAAAATAACAAACTCAAAAAGTTACAAATGCCTTCAATTTTTATATTCCGCAGCTGTTCGTTTAGCCCGAAACTTTTTTCTCTCGAATGAAAAATTCATGAAAACTGGAAAGAGCACCTAAAGCGCACACGTAACATCAATAAGAATATTAATTTACTTACCGGATATCTATGATCACTTTGTGTTTCCGGCGATCTCTGGAATGTTTCCTGAAACAAAAATAATTCATTAGCGTATATTTATGCATTCGCTTTTCTATTTATGCGCACGATGCGTTCCGAATTTAAATAAGGAATCCCAAATGAAGAAGCTCCGGAGAAATTCGTGAGTATAATTAGCCGATGCATTAAAATTTGTTCACCTATAGATAGAACGACCGAGCCAATTAACGAGTTTCTAGGTGAAACCGTCCAAAATTGGAAAAGTGCATTAGACTGACAAGAAACTCTCTAATAACGAAATTTCCACTTTTGGTTATAGGAAAGGAAGTTAAATACATCCTACACTTTATCATCTCATTAAAGCGCGCATTTTTTTTTGACGAACCGTTAGGATAATCATGTCTCGAGGAAGTAAATCGTACGTCTACTTAAGGCAAATAATAGGTCAATTAAATTCTTCGTCTTCATTGAAAACAAAATTTTTCCTCGACGCAGGAAACGATCATTGGAATAAATTAAACCGATCAGGCATCGGGGCAACGACTTTCGGAATTGAAGAAAACAAAACTGGCAATTACTTAATTTCTATCGACGCATTTAGGCAAATAAATTTGAAACGTGGGAATGAAGCAATCGTACACAGGCCACACCGTTCATTATAATTACATGGTGCTAATGTGTAATTATACAAAAATTAGTTTGCACGAACCGATTTAGTAACAAATTTCAGCCGGTGTGGTCAGAAACAATTGCGAAATAAAGCTGGGTAATTAACGAGCGGACTATTTTTTTTTACAATTGTCGAGATGAATTTTGGAATTGCCAAACAGACAGGCGGTCCTTAAAAGGATCAACTATGAATAATTGTATTGTCAAAAACAATGGCTTTGTTTACCGTGAGTTGTGGTCGCGGTGTAATGATATTGTTGTGCCAATTTCGAAAAGAAACCGCATACGATGACAAAGTTACGCACGCAAACGTTTGAATATTCTCGGAAGAACGCTGCAGGGAGCACACGTATGGAATTGGCAATTTTTTCGACCAGCAGACAACCCCCTATAAAGTGCCACTTTCCGACGACATGTTTGTAATGGTCGCATTATAAAATTGCGGCATTAAACTTTAATTTATGTGCTTTATAATGTCATTAAATCCTAATAGGTCGTAATTTAGAGTAAGAAATACTGTTTTCAATTTTCTACACCATTTACATCGCGCTTGTAATTACCGAATGCAAGCGAGCGCACTAAAACTGTTAACTTGATTTACCGTACATAATTAACCAGTTTTATAAGGCAGGTATGAAGAAACGAGCGACAATTTGAAGAAAAGCGTCGGTCACAGTTCGAGATCATAGTCATAATACAATGAATGGATGGCTAAGTAGAAACACTTTCGTCTTGTGGAGGTTGAACAATAATGATCTTTTAGAATGATGTCTCAATAAGATCTGACACGAGCCCTTCAAAAAAGACTCTGATAAATCCAAGATGGGAAGGGTTTGATTTTAACCTTGCTAGAAAAGAAGTTTCCAAGACCAGCATCATGATGGAGCATCCTTCCAGAAATACTCAATTTTCCAATACACCTGTCACAAATCACACAAAACGTTGTAGAGTAGGACCAATGGGCAAAAGAAGTCCACCACCACATTTTTTTTTCGATAAAAACAGGGTCCAAAATATTTCGTTCCTCCAAAAAAGAGTCCAGGCGAATTAACCATTTTTTAGGCAAAAAAAGAAAATTGTTATGGAACTTTGTCAAAGTGGATATGTTAAAGTGCCTAACGTGCATTCGCAAAATTTTAACGAAATCGTAGTAACCGTTTTGGCGAAAAATTTTTTTTAGTTGTTTAACTTTGACATTTTTTCTCAGTTTTTTTTGTAATAAAACCTGGCACAATTTTTGTAGGTTGTACACAGAAAAATAAGGTTTTTCCTTCCAAACACTTTTTTTGTAAATGAAAATTGTTCTTCAGAGATTTATCGTAAGGAGTTCCATTGGGTGTCATTCTTTCTTCCTTTTTATATATACTTTTCGATGAAATATAAAAAAATTATAGTCCCTATTGAAGAAGCTCAAAAAACGAAAAAACTCCAAAATCGACTTCATTGGTAACATTGAATTTTCTAGTAGGTAAATGTTGATATTTGCTTACAGTTTGGAAATTTGTTATAAACTGATTTCAGCATTCATTTCTACGGAAAAAAATACGAAGCTATTACTTCTGTTTGAACAGGCATAATCTTTTTCTTTTTTGCGAATTTTTGCAAATTTATTTGTAAAAAGGTAGCTTTTAATCTCACTTTGGCTGGCCGGCTGACAGTAAATGCGCACCCGTAAAAGAACGCTTGTAGAAAGACTAGGAGTGTAAGTGTACTTACCGGGACCGTATAATTAACAACTTTAGGCTACATGATGTGGGGTAGGCGACATATGGGCGCCATCCCCGAGCGTGTTACGTGGCAACACTCACGAGTGGGTTTTGAAACATTTTTTTTCTCAAGAGTCAAGAACACTAGCTCATAGAACGTTTTTAGTGAATGTTTCAGTGCGCCCTTTCTTCGATTTGATGCGAAAAAATACCGAAATTTGGAATTAGGAAATGTTTCGAGTACAACGAATCCGCCCTTAATTTTTATCTAAGTCGTATGCAAAATCATTTTGTTCTTAAATACCGATGTGTATAATGATCCCGGACCATACACAAAACACTCCAAACCAAGGTAGCTGTTCAATGATCAACTTTTCTCGATGCTGATCCACACCCCCGATACAAAATGATTTATTTCTGACCTTAGATTTCTGATCCCCGCAGACAGTGAGCATAATCAAAATCCTTAGATTCCACGCTCCAAACAAATAGACTCAAAAAGCTTGCACATACGCTTTCGTCGAAACCAGCACAAACGAAAACCAAACCGGCCTTCCATCTGACTACTAACTCGAACTTGATACAGTTTTTCTTCACACGTCAACACGTAGTCGGCCATGAACTGGGCAAAATTAAACTCCGTTTTCTCTTCTAAAGAACGGCACGCGAAACTGGCAAAAGGTTTCTATAAACGGACCGTAACTCGGCCTCAAAAGTTTATACAAAAAAATACTGCTTCAACGGACAGCAGTTCGGGCTCGGTAACCAACAAAAGGCGCTTTCTTTCCCCGTCTTCCACTTAAATTTCGTAAAACTTTATCGACCAATAAAACTGCAGAGAAACGACCAATACAACGAAACTCAAATCGTCACGTCCACACTACTTACTTCTTAAAATTTTCCGTATCTAATTCAACATTTCTACTTAAGAATATATTTTTTTCTTAATGTCTAAAATTGACACGTTATCTGTAACAATTACCTTTATCTTTCTCAAATAAACGACTACTTAATAAATCTTATCGAAACTGTCACATTCGCACCTTGATAACAAATAAAATTGAGGTACTAAAATTCCTTAATCGAACAATTCTTTCATCATTTGTAAAGAAAATAAACAAATAAGACCTTGACTACACACGCATTGTCTTAAAAAGTAGCCCACGACATTAATTAAAAAAACAAACTTTTGATGACCAAAATTAAACAATTAGACATCCGAATTCATCCTAAAGCTCTCAGAACAAACTACAATGTCCCAGCTGACATTGTTTACACAGCAATACTGATGTTAATTTGTAGAAAAAAGCATAGAACTTCGATAAAAACATAGATAAAGCCGTTAGTTCAATGTTTTATCTGTTATGGTTGGTGAGAAAAAAATTAATGAAGAAGTAAATTTGGACCTACTTTATAACATTTGCTCTATTTTTAAAAAAATGTCATCATGTCATAAGCACAATTTTTGCCATGGGTCTTACATTATACTCATTTGCAATCGAAAAATGTGTGATCAATGTATTTTCTGGCGTTTCCCAGCTAACAAAAGAACATTTTACGGCCACGACTGCTTTTATTACAGCAGCACCCATCGGTAGGAAATTCTCACTTCCTCATTGCGTATAAGATTAACTTCTCAGACCAGTTGTTTTATATATCTCCTCCTTAATTACATCTCGGTCATAATGACTTTTAAAAATTATTTCCGGTGCTTAGAAGAGGCGCACGATACAACTTTTGCAAATTGAAACACAAACTGTAATTTACCGTAACATCAGCTGCTGCATTCGGCGTAATTTCGTGTCTAATTTGAGTGGTGAGATAATAAAAATTGGTTAATTTTTATGACTTGTTTGTTTATTTGATCATCTCGAGTTGTTTTATATAAGATGAGTCCTCTTACACGTAATTTATGCAGGAATTTTGATGTCTCTTGATTTGATGAATATTCATCGGCGTGTATTGCATCGAGAGCCGTCTTCCTAATACTGTTTGATTTGTAAGGTATGAGAACATTTTAAGGTCAACGAATCTTTCGCTTTCACTTATTTTTTTTGCTTCGTAAAATTCGTCCATAATTTTTATGGAATCATCGTGTCGTTGAAAGCAGCGGTTTGCTCCGTTGTTTGATTATAAAAGTCATGATGCAAACAGATCTTAATTTATAACTCGCACTTTCCCTTATTCTCTGTACTACCAAATTTGGTTCGTTTTTTCGAGGCGAGTCATACAGTAGGTAATTTGCATATTTTCTGGTGGTGCTTTGGATGATTCCCTCTCGCATTTTTAGAGACTTTGTGCAACAGTTCATAATTATTTGCAACCTTGATACGAGTTCGTCGTATATAAATAAACCATTACTTGACGTAAATAAGTTAACCGTCGTGCATGTAACTTCCATTAATTATGTACGGTTATAGATTGGATGATATACTACATTATCGTATGATTGATAGACTTATTTAAAGTCGATCGGTTTATTATGCAGTAGCATTGTTGTTGTGTGTGCAGACGTTCTTGTCCTACTGTTCCATTGCCTCTAATCGTTCGCTACATCTCAATAACAATTTCAAATTTGCATGAAGTCAAGATGCAGGATAACGAACTGGCCATCAATATTTCTAAGCTATAACAGTTCACCGAGCTAGGCATTATTCATTATGACTGTGACAG